GACTTTATTAAGTAGCAATTACTGACTGTAGTATCTTACTGTCCTCTATTCTGTGTGTATTTAAAATCCTGAATAGCCTTTCCCTGAAGCTATTCAAGGGTTCCCCAGCTCTATCAGAAGCGAAGCCATTAGTGCTGAAGTGAGTAGTATTTTGACATACTGGACAACATGATGGAAAGCTTGTGGCTGACAGATGGTGTAGAGGGATTTGTAGAGCTGTTTAACAAAACTCAGCTTGGAAGCCAGAAAGTAACACGGACTGGATGCCAACAGGCCTTTCCTGGGCCTTTAATTGAACAAGTTGAATGTACAGGACTTGCTCTAGCCCACCGTCCTGTGACTGATTTGAAACATGGGAACATAAAGCTCATACAGGATGTGTTATCAGAATTGCTCCCATGAGGTTGTTCTCTTGTAGAACAATGCTGAAACCATGCAGCTGCTGTGTTTTGTCTCAGGACTAGATCATCCCTGTCCTTTTCTGTTCCCACTCCTTTCTCYTCACACTTAAACCAGGTACCCTATTAATCCTTGTGTCCTCTAATGCTGAATCTGCCAACCTTGCACTGTTACCCAGTAGGCTGGCAGGGTGCTTCCAGGGTGCTTGAAATTCTAAGGCCATCCAAACATTTTTATCGGTGAGGCAGTGGAGAAGATACATTCAGTTATTAATAAAGATTATAAAGAAAAATCTTTATAATCTATAGTTTGCAGGTCATGTGAACATTCAATTCTAGGGTTTCCATTTAGCTTACAGTCTTGTCAATCTGTACATGACAGTTCATCTTAAAATGATCTTTTCCTTGGAGGGGAAAAAGGGGCAGCGTTTCTGCTGCTGGAGTTGCAGAGCCCTTTTTCCKTGTAGAAACGAGACGAACATATGGCATTCACTAGTCTCATATTTATGTAAAGTATAAAATAGTGTGAACTTCATCAGGGCTCAAGTGAGATCATTTAATCTGTGGAGCACGTTATGAATATTCATCCCCAGCACACTATGGTTTCTGGCATTGCTTCCAGTAGTATTTGATGAGTTCCTTTCTTTCAATTTTTTTCCTGCTTTGTTATAGTGCGTGGTTGATTTCTTTCCTAATCCATGTGAATGTGAACTTCCTAGGGCTGCTGAAAAACTTAGGCTTTTGTAATTCTCCTACACACAGCAAGAGGCAAAGGGAAAAGGTTTTATTCATTTGGTAATCTATTTTCTTTTCTTATTTTTTTTTTTCCTTCAAAACTCAGCTTGGAAACCAGAAAGTAACTGCCCCTGTGATGGAGGTAAATGCTTCACAGACACACAGACAATCAGCAACAGAAGCTTCTCCACTACCTCCTCCTCCTCCTGTGGTACCAGTTAACAGAGCCTCTTTCTCACCAGACAGTGGCACCCATCTAGTGTCATACTCTTTGCCAGCGCTTGGTGATTTGTTGCCTTCACGCTTTTATAAACCCCCAGCCCTTTCCCCTTTTCCATACAAACCCCCCTTCCTAGCTCCCGAAGGCGCAGTCCGCAGGAGCGATGCAGCCTCTGTAAGCGCAGACTCTGCCCTGAGCGAGTGCTCCTCCCGCCCGGCGAGCGAGTCCTCCACAGCCCTTCTAGACGAGCTGCAGACTTGCAGCTATGACACCACTGACTGCTCTGAGACACCTTCCCCAACCTTGAGCCAGATGTCCGCGCTCTCAGATGGCACCACCTTAACCAGCACTGCTGCCACCTCTCATGTAATTATCCTTCCTTTTTTCCGCCTCCGTTTTGTTCAAACAGGTTGTCAGAGGGGAAAAGGATTCAAATTTGTCTTGTCTCATTATTCAGACACATATTCTGTTAAGAGTTTTCAGTGTCTGCAGCCTGAGAATACATTTTGCAATAGTTATTAGCAAAAATAATTTGCATAGCAGATACAGTAATAGTCAGGGAAATGACACCCAGTTGTTGCAGAGATCAGTGCTCAGCCAAGGTTTGTACCGGGCATTTAGAATAAGTGAGTCATTCAATAAGTATCTGATCCAAGTGCACTAAATGAAAGGGGGCTGTTGAATTTTAACAGATTTGTTTATAATACTTAGTGGTTTACAGGTTTGCAGAGTAGCCCTTTGGGCTACTAACATTTTTTGGTTTACAATGATGTATAGATTTCACTAATACAGCTTGTAAATTCGTAGTAAATATTGGCCGTACTTAACACATTTTTTTTCCTTCAGCCATGACCACTGACTGCATGAAGTTGCTTCTGTTTTCTCTCCTCTAACTAACCTTTCCCCCTTAAACACAGTTTCTTACAGGAGTGAACTTCATAAATAATCTTGTAGTTTCTTAGTATCTTTTTCCTTTTCTCTTGGTTAAGTCAAGGAGAACAGCAGTTTCCAATTACATGCTTTCTATGTACATTCAATTTTCTCTAGTTTAGTACACTCATGTATGAGTAAACAGAAAAGGGATAGAATTTAGGTCAAATCTATATCATTTTCTCATTTCTTTTGGGATTATCTGTATGATGAAAATGAGTCAGAAGTGGACCTTCATTTAGACTCAGCAATCTGGTGCTGAATAAAAATTTTGCATCAAGACCAAAGTTTTACGAGGTCCCAGCAGTGTTCCAACTTGAACTTACCATGCTGAGGTATCAGTGCAGTCATTTACAAGTCTAATCAGAACACTTGGTCTATAAAGAGCAGAAGGTGTATATGTTTTTAAGCTTTGTATAAATCTTCTGAAAAGTAGTTTGATCTCCAAAACTTGCAAATAGCCCCTGAGCAAGTAGCTACCCACAGTCAATGCTCTGGATGCTGTTTAAAAGATAACAGGCATGTAAAAGCTGTCATTCCTAACTCTTTCCAAAGAATCAGCCCTGTAAATCTGCATACAGCCTGGCCTTGTAACCAAAGAGCGTGTTTGGTAGGGACTGGTACTGAAATAACACACTGCCACTACGTGACTAGCTACGGGCTGCATGGAGCATCTGTCTTTTCTGCTAAGCTACTTGTGAAATAATCAGCTAACTGCATTTTTTCTTTGGGAAATGTTTTTGTAAGCTGAAATGAGCAGCCCTTCCCTTTTCCCATGGGAAGGGATGTATCATAGTCTGCTCTGGCCAGCACTCCTACTCTTAATGGCCAGGCAGGTGTGGACTTAACAGTGTTTTGCCATTAATGGATAAGGAGGAAAGGATGAATCTTCCATCAAAGGAAAAAAACCCTGGGACCCTCCTAAGATCCTTATAGAGAATGTACCTGAGGTGAAGATCAATCAAGAGGGAGCATAAGGAAAAGGAGGTTCTCCCCCTGGGCTGGGCACTGCCTCCTTCACCCAATGGTGAAGTTGTCCACTTATCGTGTAGGGGCACCTACATGCACATTCGTGACTGTGCAACCTGTCTTTATGAGAGGGAGCACTGCCTGGTGGGTGAGCCCTGCTGCCTCACCCAGCCATTGGGGAGAGCCCAAAGATCACACCAAGATGGAGAGGTTTTGTTACAGAAACGCACAGGAGCAGCTTCCCCGTTTGGAAGGACTCACACTAGTTCTTTCCTAAGAGAAAGAAATACCATATTAAATACCTTGCTAAGGAATAAGCTTTCCAGAAACGGCAACATGAAGGAGAAGAGAACAGGCTCAACCTCTAAATAGGGTAGAGATACATGGCCTTATCTGAGAACCTCATCTGAAAACATTTCTCCTCATCTCTTGAAACGTTCCCACTGCTTATTCAGCTCTAGTGCTCTAATCGCTTCAAGTACTTCTGGAGGATGGGTGTGAGAAATGCCAACTTTGTTTACATTTTGGGTCATGATTATTCAGAGATTAAACCTTTTGTGTTTAAATGTTTAATGGGCATATCTCCACAAGACAAACTCTTCAACTTAGCTCTAACAGATGGCATTAAAATGCCAAGCCCTTGAGTGCATCGCTGAGCTCACGTGATGCCATGGCTTTGCTGTCTTAGCCCCTGGAGGCTGAGGTACCAAAAACTTTATTTTTTTTTTCAAAATATAAACTAATTTTTAAGAATATAATATTAACGTGCCTTTTAAYGTATTTTTTCTTTGCTGTCCTAAATAGTCTCATTTTATTAGYAAAATTCATATTGTCGTACAGATTCTTGCTCTTTCAGTTTCCTGGTTGTATAAAACTGAGGAAAACTTCTAATGCTCCCAGTTCTGTGCAGATGTAAAGAAAATAACTATTCTGCATGAACAGAGGGGCTGCAGGGAGCATCTTGCCCTGTCCTGTGGAAGTGCCTGCTGCTGTCTCACGCCCTGCAGGGTGCTGCCTCCTGTTAGAGCCTTGCGGTGCTCCTTGGAAGAGCTCTGCAGCCCAGGCCTGCGAGTGCCAAAGTCAGGGGCAGGGAGGGAAGGGGTTTCAGAACTATCTCCTGTGACTAAAGCACCAGTGGCTTGTTATGCTGCAGGATTGCCAGTTTGCTTTTAGCTTTTCCTCTTCACTTACTGTTTTTTGCTCTCTTTTGCTGTTGGGAGGCTTGCCTCAGTGGCTCTTAGTGTAACTGCGATAGCTGGCGCCGCAGCGTCCCGTAGTCCCTTGGGCTGCCCGCGCTTTGGAAGGAGGCTCCATCTCACTTTGCTTTGCGGCTCCTGACAAGACGTTTCCCGTTCCCCTGCAGCGTGTGTACAGAGCCCCGTTAGCAGCAGCGGGAGCCGTGCACAGGGAGCGAGTGAGCCCAACAGGAGCCTCTCCTGCCCCTTTGTTCMCTTCCAGCATCGGACTTACCCAGACCTTGTTTGTGCAGCTCCTCTTCACTGCTCGACCACGGTCTTCGTGCCACCTGCCGTGACCGCAGTGCACTTCCTAGGCAGCTCTCTCAGGGGAGAAGGGAGGAGGCACAGGATGCAGAGGGAACATATTGTGCTTGCTTTGCCTTGAGTTTTGCGTTGCAGCGAGCGCAGATCCCGTTGCAGCGAGGTACCTGGCAAGGGGTGCCCGCTGCAGGGGCAGCCGCGCGGGGGCTCCGCGTCTCCGTTAACGGGATGTTGTTTTGTCTCTCTCAGGCTCAGGTCACAGTGAATGGCAACTCTGGCACTGCTGCCAGCCCAGTGAGCCACTTTCAAAGGCCTTTTTCCCCTTCTTCAGCCTTCCCACCACCAGCTTCTCTCAATTCCAACGTTGTTATCATGCAGCATGGCAGTATGATGGGTAAGCCTTGCACGAAACGTTTACTTTATGTGTTATGCAGCGTATTCTGATTTGTTTGGCTGGGATTGCAAACACTTACAGAGTACTCTAGAGCCATAGGCAAGGTACTGTCTGCTCTGTTATCTTGGGGGCCAAAAAGAAATAATAGTGCAGGAAAGAATAGTGTTTACTGTTAGCTACGTGGAGTTATGAAGTTGTATCCCTTGGGTGCATGAGAGTGGCCACTCACCACTCTTTTTCAGTACCTGTGCTGAGGAAAGAGCCTAAATGCAGGTCAACTCRCACAACTCCCTTAGGATTTTGCCCACTTTAAGAAACCAGTGGCCAATTTTCTACATTGCTGCTTCCCACAAGTTCTGTAATCTGCAGTGAACGCACTGCCACAAAGTGTGCATCTCTGGGCCTTTAAACACCTGAAGTCCTATCAGTTTAAAATTTATTTTTCCTTTTTCCAGGGCATTGCTTTTTGTTTTGTTTTAAATATTTAAATGATCAGTCGCACAAAGAAGCTTTCCATTTTGTCAGTATTATCCAGTTTTGTCAATACAGTCACTTGCTTGCCCTTTTCTTTCTGCCAGCATTTGCATTTTTAGATAACATATACATGCAAAGCTTCTTTGAATGTGGTCCTAGCGTTTGCTTCTTGGTTGTGCAGGCAGGCAAATTAAATGACAGTTCCAGCTCGGGGACTTAGGGCTCAGGTAAATGCTGCTTTACCGCGTCCACGCGATAAGCGCAGAACCTGCCTGCATGGGCTTCTCCACATCCCAAAGCCCTGGGTTCTTTGTTTGCTTCTACTTTTCTGATCTTAGTCTTTACCAATTTTATTTTAGAAGTATCTGAAGCAAAGGAAATGTCTTTTAGTTTTGTGCATTGCTCATGAAAAATCCCACTAACGGCAACAGTTCGAAGCCTACAAAGAGTGAAGGCTTTAAGTCCCAACTGTTTTCTAAATTTGACATCGTGCGCTTTGGGAAAAAGGCCCAAATATTCAGACATTTGCCCCACAGAGCTGCCCCTCACCATATATGTGTAGTACTGGGTTATTTACAGGATTTYGAACTTTGAATAAACAGTCGAGACAGGCATGCCAAGTACAACTCTTTACAGTAGTAACAGGCAGAAATATTTGAATTAAAATTAGAGCTTACTGTAACTAGACACTTTTCACTGAATTATATCACAATTCAAATCTTTTGCTTCAGAAAAATCAAAGATTTTTAATATCACCTGAAAGACGATTGTAATCTTCACCAGTAGCTCTRGAAATTTATCTTTGCCCCTACTCTCCTTTATCCTGCAGTAGGGATGCATCGTGCCTGCTCTTGCACAAAAACACAGTAGTCCTAATGGCCCACAAGTAGTTTGGTGAAGAAACCCTCTGCTTGGGGACACGGGCTCTTTCTCCTGCATGCAAGAGAAAATTACCTCATCTACACACCAGAGAATTTCACATGACGCATCCTAGCAGTGAAGCGTTTTTTGTTAAATCATTGACTCGCTCTGAATCTGAGGTGAACAGTAACAGCGATGTATTAATTTAGTTAATTATTAAAGGGAGATTTGCAGGAGATTAATAGAAATATTGCTAGGGACCAGCAGCAGCTTGCAGTAGACCTRAAGCCCAATGGATGGATCATCAGATGGATGCCAAATTTTGGAGGTTCTTTTGTACAGACTGCACAGTGAGGTACTTGAACATACCAATAAGGACATGAAAACTGTATCCAGGCATTTCTTTCAAAAAATTGTTATGCATCAGAACTTAATGTTTCTAACATGTATAATGTRAATCTTTGTCAAATGTTGAGTGAAATCTATTGCTCTGCTTGCAGGACAGTAATTTTTAATATTGTGCTACTTTGGGGCAGGGGGAGGAGAATATTGTAATTAAATCACTACTTCAAAGCAGGGGAAGGAAAGATGCAATTTTGCCTTATAGCAAGAAAGGCTGTGCTACCACTGCCTCCATAGATTTTGCAGGACTTGTGCTTCTTTTTTCCTTTTTGCATGRTTAAGAAGCTGTGAAAAAGTGTCTCTAGCCTACGAAATTCTGAGCTGAACAGCTTAAGACGTTATCACGCCTCTAGCTCAGGTGATGTAGGAGGGAGCCGGGGGCAGCCCCGGCTAAGGTGATATATTTATGAATGCGTGGTTGTCATCAGCCTCCTAGCGCACGTTGGAATTRTGAAGCTTGGCTGCTGAGCCCCACTATGCCGTTACACAACGTTGTGCCACGTTATCTCCACAGAGTCCACAGAGACATACTCGCAGCACGTYGAGCCTCTTGGCAGCAGCGCCGGCACCAGCACAATACCCATCTGTAGATCCTCAGAGGAAGAGAAAAAAATTACAGTCATTAAAGCGCCACATTATGCAGGGATTGGCCCGGTAGATGAATCTGGAATCCCTACAGCAATTAGAACGGTAGGAAATTCTGGGGAATCTGTGTGTGAACTCGCACAATGGTGTGATTGTTGGTAATGGGTTTTTCACATTCTTCTGGTCTTATATAATGCGGGATACAGCGCGCGTAATCACGGGGCCCATGAATATAATATTGTGTATTGAAGGAAAAGGAGCCTGCTGACAGGGGCATAATTGAGCAGCCTCATGTTTCTAGTGTTAATTATGAGGAGTCAGAATTTTGTCTCTTGTGGCCTTGCCTTTTGGAGATGGGCAGTAATTGCATTTGTCATGTCATTTTTAAAAACTAAAGAGAATTTTGCACACGCTATATATATGTATAGGTGTTTGTGTGCATGCAGATATAGTATATACATATATTTATATGTATACATACATACATGTGTATATATAAAAACCTATCTCCCTCACGTTCCTGCATTTTGGGGCGGGTATTTTTCTCATTCCACCGGCRTGGCGTAGAAATGAGTCGTTTCACCCGGCTAACTACCGGCGCGACGGAGGGGAGCGGGGACGGGAGCGCCGCACACGGGAGCCCCCGGCGGCCGCTCTCCCGCGGGATTGCGCCGGCGTGCGGGACACGCTGCCCGGGCAGCCTCTCCTGGCTGCTCCCGGGGGCGCAGCCGCGGCTGCCAGGGAAGCGCCCGCGGGCCGGGCCGCTCCGAGAAGAGGCAGCTGGAGCGGAGCSGGAGGCAGCATGAAGGCGGCGGGGCCCTTGCAGGTGAAGGTTCGCGAGGTACAAGGATGGGGCAGCTGTTGGGTTTATCCTGCCTGGCAACCCTGGCGCGCGGGGCTGTGTTGTACCTGCCAAGAAGTGCTTCCGTGCATTGGAAACTTGGGGGGAGAATCAGGAATTGATGCAGAGAGGCAATAGGGAAAAATCAGAATAAGTGGTAAAAGGGGATGTTTTTAGTAAGAATGGGGGGAAACTTTGGCATTTCCTGCTGTCTTTATTTTTGATGTAGACAAATAACATGAATAGAAGTCTTCTAAGCAAGTAAATTTACTTGCAACAGTGCTGTAGCTTCCTACCCTTTCTTAAAGCGAATATGTTCCTATATGTAAGATGCAGGGTTTTCTTTCCTTTTCTTTTTTAAATAGCTGATTTATTTAATGGGTGGATATTAGTTATATAAGAGTATAACAGAAATCCCCCTCAAGTGTGCTTAATGGAGCTGGCAAGCTGCCAAACTATATTTAACTTTCAGATCAGATGGTCTGAATCTSTAAGATTTTCTCCTGAACGCCTGCATGCAATTTGAAGAGTGACATTTTTCAGCCRCTCTTCTTTTATGTCGTTTCAGTTTCACAATATCTTGCAGCCTTTAACTTTAGTGTGGCAGCAATGAGTCCCATGATGAGATACGAGTGTAAAGATGATGCCTGTTTGTCTGAGGGTGTGTTAGACGGTGTGTCTGCCTTAAATGCCACTTTGTGCAGCTATTCTGCCTCCTTAGGATTTAGCTGGAGATAAGGGTGCTTTCAAGATACTCATCTGGGATTGCATTTACATATTGACAAGCGTAGTTGAGCCCACGGTACCCTAGTGGTGTGAGGACCAAGGGAATAGAGTTGTCAGCAAAAGTGCARGTGGGCAGCTGGGCAGCGTCTCCGCGGAGGAGCGCGGCCCCGTGCAGGAACTGGCCGACGGGCCGGAGCCGCGATCCCCGCGGGCTGCACGCGGCTGTAGCTGCAGTGCTGCTCTTTATCCAAGGGGATGCAGTGCTCCCTCTTTCTGCAAGGTCAATGGGACYCCAAACAGGAATCCTCTCCAGGGAAGTTCAGACCTGCTCTGTGTGCAGGGATAGAGAAGGTACAGAGTGGTAGAGAAGCTTTGAAATTAGTTGAGCACTGCGTGAAAGTTCAGACATCTCTGATTCATCGATCCTTAGGAAAAAGGCAGCAGCCTTTCAGAAAAGGAGCAAATGCAGATTCAGGTGTGATTGACAAACTCTCCTCCCTTTCTGTTCCTGCAAAGCRCCTCTGTGCAAAGCTGCAGAGAGGGAAAGGCTTCTTGTAAAGCGCTTCCTTCTCTGGGAGCTTATGTGCCATGTTAGCACGCAACCCCGGGAGCCTTTGAGCTCCTTCCAGCTCGGGAAAGTGCAAGCCTCAAGCCCAAAGTTCAGGTCATTGTTCAGTGTTGCTGCAGTGCCAAGCCCTGCCCCAAAGGTGGTGAAACTGCAGGGCATTAAGATAAGGTCTTTGCAAAGGAGTGACTAAAATGTTCTCTCATTAAAGCTTTCAGTCAAATGGCTCAGGCAGACTCTGCCGCTGCCAGCTGCCTAGGAAAGGAAAAAAAGAGATTCATGGAAAGCAGCAGGACTGCGGTGTTCTAGTAGTATTAAAAATGATTGCTAAAAGGATGAATTTGCAGATAACTATCAAAACAAGCATGCAGAAAACACTTTATTTTGTCAGAAGGAAGAACTTCTCTTCCATAGCTGGCGATGGAGCATTTTAGTGAGGAAAAAAAAAAATTATGTCCGCTGAAAGTCATAAATGAGTCCTTTAATTGTGTGGTTCTATGGGCTGGTCACTTACCACAGTGTTGGGGCACTTGTGAACCCAAATTGCAGATGCTTTTGCTGTCTGGAGTGCTGCCTGGCTGCTGGTGATGCAGGTCCGTGGTTCGTGTGCTTGTGGTGCACGTGCACGGCCACCATTTACTGCAGCAACACATGCAAAGCAGTGTGGCATCTGCAGTGACTTGCTGCCTTGGCATGCTGCTGATTTCTCAAAGAGTTTGGCTTTTGATGTTAGCGAATATAAACTGAGAGAGTATATTCTGGAATTCATTTTTTACATAAGGATACATCTTGTGTGGCTTATAATATAATGCAGATTGTTGACAGAGGCTTTGATGGTGGGGAGCGGGGCAGGACGGACAAGGAAAACATGTTGGGAGAGAGGGTAACACAACCTTCTTCCCTGGTCACGTGGAAGCTGCTCCAAACCTGCCCTGCGTGTGGCAATTTTTGTGGGTTTTTGGAGAACCTGGCTGTTCAGGAAGGTRTCTCTGCATGTTTGTCACTGGGCGAGCAGCAGGGTCCTCACAGGAGTATTTTTGCACTGTTTCCTATCTCTTAACCCTGATTCAAACTCAGCTGGATGACTCCTGCAGTCAGAGGGGTGGTGTGGGCCCCTGACACCAGCGCTGTCTCCTGCTCCTGCAGGACGGGAGGGATTTCCCAGAGGGAAGGGTCATGTCCCTGGTGCCATCGGAGCTGCTGGGCTTCCCTGTGAGCTTTAGAGCTGGCAGGGCCTTGAGCACCCAACAGCCTCCCTGCTTGCAGCCCTGAGAAGTCCTTTCTACCTGAGTTCTGCTGGGATTGATGCTTAAATTCTTTGGGAAAATAAAATGGCCCAAATTTACTTCTGAGAACCACCTCTTTGTCAGAAATCAAAATGTGGGTGGATGGGGAAGGGGCCTGGGCTGGACACAAAGCTCTCTCCTTCGTTTCCCCCAGGCAAGCCTCGTGGAAAGCATAACCTGCCACTACAATTATTGTCCCCCCAGCAGATCTCTGAGTGTTCAGATGACCCTCAGCTTGGCCTTTAAACAGACTCCAAAAGCCATTTATTTGCAATTTAATGAGCTGGTTTTTTGCAATCTCTCCTCAAAATGTGGAGGCTTCTTCTGCCTAGTTCCTTACAGTAAGAGCTCACCAAGTTTAACAATATAAACATATGAGTTTTAACAAGAGCAAAATTCAGGGCAGAAGTGTGATTCCTATGGAGCCATATATGAGGATCTTCAGAATACCTTTGGTTGTAAGATAGTTTTGTTCATCTGAATTAAATATTTTGCTAGTCAGAAAAACAATTAAAATATTAGGACCTAGGAAGAAGTAGGAAATGCTGACAGTATATTTGCCTTAGAACAGTCCATATTGCTTAGATTTCTGAAATACTACCATCATGTCTCAAAGAAATATGCCTCCAAAAAAGAAAAGGTAAAAGGGGGAAGGAGAAATAAAATCTAAAGCATGAGCAAATGTTAATGTGAAAAGAGCTTGGGACTTTGGGACTGCTTAGTTTTCCAAAGTAAAGATAAAAATTAATGGGTGATATTAATAGATAAATTATATATACCTACTTTCCTCTTTGCGAAACAGAATAAGACAAGACTAAGTTTCCTGGAAGGGCAAATTTCATATTGATAAAAGTCAAAACCGTTTGCATACAACCCAAAGCTTAACTCCTAAAGGTCATGTCGTCTTAACTCTTTTCTTGGTAGCATTCCCAAGTATCTGCAATAACATTTTGAAGATAATTTAAGTCAGAAACGGGCAGGTATTAAAAAGAAACTCTTCCTAGAAGCTTGTAATAGCTGAGGCTCTGCAGGTCATGCATGGAGTCGCTGTCAGGTGTAGGGCACTAAGGTAAACTCTCTTCTAGCACCAATTCCTACATTCCTAAGCACTGCAGTTCTTCATGGTCAGAGCCCATARCTGCGTCGGTGCTGAATGCCTTCCAGAATTGGTTGCAGAAATTTCTAGATGAAAAAGCAGAATACACCCTTTGAAGTAACAGGTGTCAAAACTGTAATGTCGAATAGGGGGACAAAATGTGCGAGGTTTAACTCTGTGTCCAAAATAGCTTTAAAGGTTTGATCAGATCTGTCCACACAGATAACTTTATTTCTTTGTTAATTGTTGAAAACTGTATTTTATTTAGACGGTTGACAGGCCGAAGGATTGGTACAAGACAATGTTCAAGCAAATCCATATGGTTCATAAGCCTGGTGAGTATCTCTTTGTTTTGGCTGTGTGTTTCTCAGTATTTAGAAATGCACTTTTCTGCCTTTTTGTTGGCTGCCCTGTAAAAACCCAAATGTTCACTGAGTAGGTGATAGTGGATCAAATCCAAGGGTTAAATTGGATCACATATTCGATTTCCAAAGAGTTACCTTCCTCTGCTAAAAGCTGAGCCTTTATCGTGGGTTTACCTTWTTGCTCAAGATGAGTAAAAGCCGACGTGCTGAAGGCAGGTGCGGGAGCCGCTGGGTGCCCACGCGCCGCGGCCGCGCGCCTTGGAGCCACGCGCGCTCATAGGCCGTTCGGGGGGGCACCTCCTGTTCAAACTGCCGTTCTCCCTTTCGTGCCATGTCAGCTTGTGTTGAAATGGAGCCTTGGTGACGCTACTGGTTTTAGAGTTACCTTCCGTTGCCACGGTCGACGTCCAAGGCTGTTAAGAAACYGCATGAACAGCGTTTGGCTCCTCGTGCGCTGGGGAAGGAGAGGGCTTCACTGCGCTGAGGTGCAGCTTGCCTCCAGCGTGGGGGCACYGGGGAATAAACACCGGCAACAGGGAAAAATTGTGGCTTCCCAGCTCTGTTCCCAGCTCTAGTCACGTGGACAGACATTTGAGGTGGATTGTCTAAATAGTTTCTAATAACACTGACAAAAGGAAGAAGTGAGGAAGGGAGAAGGGCAGATGAGCAGCTATAATTTGCAGCTTGGGCTTAACCTGAGACCCTGCAGTGCGGGTGTCGTGGCCAGGCAGGGCTGTTTTCCCCAGCGAGGCGAGGGGCGTGTGTGTAACGGGGAGAAGCGGTGCAGGGGCCRCGCGCCTGCGGCGAGGGGAGAGCGGCGCTTGGTGCCTGCCCCTCCGCGTGGCCGCGCCGGGCTGGCCGGGTCGCACGCCTAACGTGTGTGTTTCTTTTGTAGATGACGACACAGACATGTATAGCCCTGCCTATGCATACAGTGCTGGTAGGAGTCGTTCCTCCCTCTCTCCCTTCCCAAGGATGCTTTGTTCATGTCAGCAAGTAACAGGGGTAGCCRGCCAGCCAGCCAGGCTTGCTTGGGGGGGAGGGTTGATGTAAACATGGCTTTTAATCATTTTGTTTGGTCTCCGTTGGTGTTTTTCCATGTCATTTTTCCCAAATCAAACAAGTTTAATTTTGGTTTCATCCTTGCTACAGAAATGTATTGCAGCTGTGGGTCTCCTCCTGCAGATGGAATACATTGTAATACTGTAGCTTCTGACTGCACTGCATTTATTTTCACTAATAGTTGTGACTAACTCGGCCTTTTCATGTCAAAATGAAAAGGGAGTTGCGGTGTGAATGTACAAATGCTAATTACATATATGGAAAGACAAAGATAGTTGAGAGGATTGTCCTTACGGCACCTTTTTAAAATATACAGTAAGATGCTTCTGTTCTGCGCTCTTGTTCATTTGTGCTATAGGCACCTACGTTCATATCACTTAGCTGCAGGAAAGACATATTCATCCAAAGCTTATGTAATGCATGCATCTTTCAGAGGTGGCAGAAATATTTCCAAGAACCAAAATTAAAAGTGTGATTACACTGTATGCACAACCCCCCATGATGCCTTTCGCAGAAATCCCATTGGAAATTCTTCCATTTCAGTATTGGTGTCGCGCCAGTGCGAGCGCTTGCATGTGCCAGGTTTTGGAGATGTTGTTGGAGGGCTCCCGCTTCCCAGTTGTGCCAGGCTGGAGTGAGCAGTTCCACAGCCGTGGGCTGCCCCCCTGCTCCTCCCGAGCCTGCCGGCCACGCAGAGGCAGCGCCAGCCCCGGCTGTTAGCAACAGGTCGCCATTAACAGCCCCGATAGACACACACGGCCCTTAACCCTGCACCCCTGCTAGTTGTTAGCCGTGCGTACCTACCTGCGGGCCTGGAGAGGTGTTGGCACATACCCGGGCGTTACAGTGATCCACATATTATGTAAAAACAACGTGCTTTTCCTAAAGCCATAATACCTTTTTATAACATGACAGCTCTATGAACTGTGAGGTCTTGCATGTCTCCTGTGCTGAAACGGCCTCTCACGCTGTGACTCTCTGTGTTTGCCACTGTCATTAGGAAGCTACAGTCCATCCTTCTCTGCCCAGGCGCACCCAGCTGCCAAGACGCAGACGTACCGGCCGCTGTCCAAAAGCGCCTCTGACAGCAGCTCCGATGCCTTCAAGGTTTCCTCCCCTCTGGCCCCTCACGTGCCGCCTCCGGTTCCCCCACATCGTCTGCGGGAAAGGTCCACGTCAGAAAAGTACGTTAATGTATTTTCACTCTTCTTGGCACGTGCAGCAATCCCATAATTACAGGATGTCACGAGGGATGAAACACCAGCAGTACAAGTAACGTGGCTGCAAACATACCGTGACTGCCTTTGCTGAGGGAGGGCGATGTGGTCAGGGATGTCTGCGCTGGTGCTGGGGGTGTCCTGCCTGGCAGTGCCAGCTCCTCAGCATGACCTGCTCCTGCAGGCAGTGCCACCGCGAGCACCGGCGTTTTGCCGGCAGCCCTGACCTGCAGGCTGTGCCTTGGAGCCATCTGGGCCATAGCGCCTGTCCCGCACTGTTGTCCTAAAGCAGGAAAGGCTCTTTGTGGTGTCCACCAGGAAAGGGATGAGACCTAAATGATTCAGTAAATAGGAATTCAAGGAAGGGGAAGCGCCAAGGGTATAACAGTCGTCTCTCATTTCCCCAGAGCTGTGAAGAATTTTATATTCCCCATTTTTTTAATCTCCATCTGTGTTTTTGATAGATGAGATTAAAAGGACATTTCAGATTTCTTACCACTTCTCACTTGCTGCATGAAAACAGATAAATCAAGTCTGGTAGCGGTTAATTCCTGTTAGTTCAGGAAATAACTGCTTATCCTACTGATAAAAACATGAAAAATGCTCTGGGTGCATAAAAATCTAGAATCCTCCCCATTGCTGTTGGGACTAGGTCAGGAACACAGTTTTTTCTTTAGTGTTTATGTATTCTTTGTGTTAATATAGTAATACATTATTCTATATTTTTATGTACATCTACGTACATGTACATTTCAATATTGAAAACATTTGTTCTTGTGCCATTTGGGTGCTTGCACTTAGCTTATACCTGCTGAGCTGAACCACTTGGAGTCGTGCATTTTAACCAGGTTTGGTTTTGTTTGTCCTTTCAGAAATTTATGGAGAGATCCTCTCTTTATTTCTCTTACCTGTAATCCTGTGACTGAGCTTGGGCTTCGTAGATACCTCGCTCAGCGACTGTTGGGTTTGGCTGCAGYTGAGGGCAGGCTGTCCAGACACCTGCCTGGCATTGGAGTCGGGCTGCCTGCCAGAGGCCACGAGGTCTGGATTTTGTTAGCCAGCCCTAAGTGGTTTTGGTGGCTTCCTAACACCGAAAGGGAGACCCCTCAGAGCTCCTTTTGTGGAGCTTGATGACAGCCCCTGCAGCAGCCAGGCTGGATGTTCTGCTTCTCCTCACTCATGTCCTGTGCACGAAGACACGTGGCCCAAGTGCAGACCCTCTGGGCTAGAGGATGCCCAGCTCCTYGGTTAGGCTGCGCCTGCTGCTGAGAGCTACTGCTAGCCAGGCCCTTCGTGTCACTGGAGAATCCTCCCTAAATAATAATAAATTAGAGATTTGAGGAGGTGCGTTGTGGTATTGTGAGTGGATATGTCAGAAAAAAAATTAAACTGATCCTCTTTAGAGTATGAGGAGTATGGAAAATTTCCATAATTTTCCAACTCTACTGCATTTACCTGCAGCAAGGGGGTTCAGGTGACACAGTGGTCAGAACGGGGGGCTGCTGGGCCAGACCTTTCACAGTGAAGTCTGTAACGAGAAGGGCTGCCGAGATTCACCTGTGTATGATGTACGTGTGATGAGCGCAGCTCTAAAGCAGTTCCCGTGGGGAAGCCTGTCCAACTGAATTGCTCCTATTTGTTATTTAGAAATGCCTGGGACCCCCCTGACAGAAAGGTGGACACCCGCAAATTCCGTTCCGAACCAAGAAGTATTTTTGAATACGAGCCGGGCAAGTCCTCAATCCTTGAACATGAAAGACCGGTAAGAGACATGAGCGAAACGGTGACGTACAGGAAGGTGTGGTGAGAGATCTTGTGTTTATTTGCTGTTGATTATTAATGCTTTGATTATTGAAGGTCCTTTGTCAAATGTGATTTCATAGGAATTTTTCTCTTTTCTGCTTTTTGTGTTGAAAATGTGTGTTTGGTGTATTTGTCAAACTTAATTATTCCAGCATTATCAAGAAATTGAAGAATCACTGTGCAAACGTTATGGATGATGCACAGAATTATAAATTAATGGAAGCTGTCTGCTCTAGTTAACATGCCTGTCCAGCACTCCTTTTTATTTATCACGTTTCCTGTGGTATTAACAGCACATATGATACCTGATTAATTAATGCATAAAAATAACCTGTCTGTGTTTTCAGGACATGTCCAATGTCCTTAAGCAGGTTTTGATCAAATATTGGAACAGGTTGTCCAGAGAGGCTGTGGAGTCTCCATAATTTCAGGTGTTCAGAGCTTAACTGGACAGAGCCCTGAGCAGCCAGCTCTGATCTGGCCTGCTTTGAGCAGGGAGCTGGACCCAGCAAGCTCGGGAGGTCCCTCCAGCCTGAGCAGCTCTGCGATTGCATTAGCGTGTGGTGAAAACTCTTCATTCCTGCTTTCGGAATGGTGCTTGCAATGGTGGATTTTTCAGGAAGGTATCTGATAACACCAAGCTTGCTGCATGCAGAAATAACCACTAACATAAGTTTTCATTTACTGAAAAACGCTCTTATTTATCTTTATGCTCTCTCAATTCTTTATTACTTTAGTAAACTTAATTTATATCCATGACAGTATATTCTTTTCTTGGCATTTTTCTTGAGGTGCAACTGGATAGAGTCCAGTTTGATAGAAGCGGTTTATTAACTGTTACTCAATTATTATTTGYTCATCTATTACTGCATTACACATACGTTCTTAGAATTTAGGAGTTTAGGATAAATTAATCAAGTAGTTGAATTTTAGAACACACAGTAGGTCAGTAGCGTGTGAAACGACTGTACTGAGGACCTTTCCTTCACGCCTGCGCCGCCTTTGCAGGAATGTAGCTTTGTTTAGCTAGAAAATAGGTGTGTGGTGTGAAATAAGGTTTTGCAAAACTGATGCCTTTTTTTCAAGAAGGAGGTTAGTGTTTCTGCATGGACTATTAATTAATCTGATAAGTTAGCAGGTTCTCCCAAGTTCGTGTGAATTTACTATTTACTGTCAAGCTGAACTCAACTTATTATATTCAAAAAGTGATGACATTTGTTCTGAGCATTTGTTTGCTTGCTGCGCACACTCAGGTTTGCCTTTGCAATCCCACAAAATAGCAGCAGATTCAAGAGTTAAAATTTTAAAAACCAGAGTGTGTTTTTCAAGAATGCCCTCACGTTTCTCACAAACTACTTTTTTCATGTTACACTAGTAAAAAATGAATAATTCAATACTAGAACTTCATTGCTGTTGAATGTAAACCTAGATACATACATACAAGTTTGCAATTTTAGTGATCTTATCAGATGAGGAAAAGTGTATTTCATAGATAGCTCCTGCAGAGTTTCTTTTTTTTCTTTTTGGAATTGCTTATTCATTTTATTTTGGATGCTCTCATTTGGGAGGATGGCTCTGAGCCCTGCTGGCTCTTTGAACATCAGTAGGTGTAGAAGAGCCTTAGTCACGCTGCGCTTAAGGAGCTGCTTTAGCCAAGGGCAGCATCAGACGTTCATTGTCCACAGCTGAGACTAGGAGCCCGTGTGAACAGGAGCAAACGCCTGTGCAGAGAACAAGGCTCTGCAACCGAGGAGATAATGTGTACGGACAGAATGGGATGGGGCCTATGATTCACACTTCTAAAGCATCTGAAAAAAAGGAATTAATGTAAAATGCAAAAGTGCTGAGACAAGCATAATGGTACTTCATAGCAGAGTAAACTCTCAGAATTTTAGTAATCTGGAATTTCTGCTGTTGATTAAAAAACGTTTAGCTTTTTAAATTTCAGTACTTCCTTTGAGACACATTACCAAAAGACTTGGTTTCACTAAAGCATTTGCCTTCCTGTGTTCATAGAACCTGATATGGGAAGTATAATGCCCAGCTTGTTACAGCATGATCAGCAGCATAGCTGAAAATACATTCCTGTGAATCTAGGATAAGCTGACATGCAAAAAATACTGAATTTTCTCTAAATCCAGATGAAAACTGCAAATTTTGAACTGTTTCAGTAGTTTGATTTCACTTTGACAAAGTAAAAATATTTCCTTTTAATGTATAAAATAGTTTAGATGATACTAAAAGAAAAACATTAAGTGAAACAGGAAATGTTAAACTTTATWAAGTAGTGTGGCTCAATATTGTAAAATATGGTATTTATAACATCTGAATTAAATTTTTTTACTATATCAGTTTTACCAAATCAAGATAATTGATTTTTTCTCCAACACATTTCAGTGTTTATGGTACTGCATTTCTGATGTCAAACTCATCTGCAAAATTACCCACTACATTGTATGATATTAAACAGGGCACATGCATTTGTAAGGTCAATTTTCCTATTATTGATTTGGATATTAAACTGGCAACAGTAGGGATTAGTATAGGAACATGGGAGTAATGTAATAAAGTGAAATTAAATGTAAAACTAATAATTAGGGACAAAATAATTTAGCAGATAGGAAGGATTCACTAGAAGGAAAGATTCTGAGAAGTAATACACCTGATTAAAAAAAATAAACTTAAATGGACACATCATTCATGGACATAAAGAATGGCTGTAATTTCTGCTGCCAACTCCTGCAGTATCAGGCAGGGTGATATTTTTTTCTTCTGTAGCCTGAGCTTTGAAGAGTGGAAAACATCTACGAAAAATGGGGATTTTTTGTTGGCTGGTGCTTTGAAAGTATGACTAAAGGTATGAGAAAGCAAGTTATACAAWTAAATTGTAGACTAAACTGCATCAAAAAGTCCTCTTACAAAGAATGACCTTAGCCTGTCCAATAACCTCCCGTGAAGCGGTGACGCGGCCGGGCGGCGCGGGAGAGTTTCTGCTGTGAGCTGCAGTCTCCGCTTTCTGCCTTTCTCCTCTTTTCCCTGCATAATCCCAACTGTGGCTGCGTTGCTTGAAGCGGGCGCTTGTCRCCAATAAACAAGCTGGGTATTAGAAAATGCTACTCAATAGCTGATCCCAAGTAGCGTTTGCTATCAACTGAAAACGTTGTTTTAAGTGTGCTTTAAAATTACATCAGAAGCATTTGGGTAAATCATACATTTAGGTATGTTATGATATGACATTACAAAAGATACGGACAGAATACGTCAATCTGCTTGTGCCTGAGAACTGCAACAAAATCTTGAAATAGTCTAAAAGAAAAACAAAAGCTTTCTGGAGCCAAGCCAGATTTCTGTGCGTTTTTCCAAAGAAGCTTTGGCGAGGCGCGTGGGTTTGCAGGTGCGAGGTGCTGATGTGAGCGCAGGTCGTGGCGCAGCCGTTAACTGCCCCATTTGATCCGTGCCCGTGACCGCATCCCTGCGTGTGGGGGGCGGCGCTTCCCGAGCAGCCGCTGGCACGGGAGCAGGCACTGCAGCCTGGGCAGGGCCCCGCAGGACCCTCTCGCCACCGCCGCTGCCCCCTCTGCAGCCCCAGGCAGCTGTGCCCGCAGAGCCCTGCGCTGGCTCCGGCCTCCTCCCGAGCAGACGGGCCCTAACGCCTCCACACGCGGCCTCTTCTCTGCCCCCGAGCACGGAACACGGTGCTGCGCCCTGGAAGCGCCTGCTGCCAAGGGCAACGTTTCTGTGGGTGGAATTGGGTGCSAATAGCTCAGCTGAGGCGGCAGTGGGTGCTCGCGCTCAACTGTGACTGTGCTTGGGGGAGAAGCGGGAGCAAAACCCAAGCACAGCTTCACTCCCTGGCCCCGCTGGGCAAGCAGAGCCGCGCCAGTGTTTGCTTCCGCCCCGTTAGCAGGGCCAAGGCTGCCCCGGCCGGGAGGTGCACGGGCATCGTGAAGGGAGAGCTGCTGGAGCTGCAGCTGTGTCCACAGAGAGCGCGAACAACTCCCTGCAGTAGGAGCACCAGGTAGCTCCCAGGGGCTGCTGGGCTGGCATCTGCTCAGTGTCATCAGAAACTGCAGCAAAAGTGCTGCAGGATGTTTAATTGAATGCTCAAGGACACAGAGAGAGTCATCTCTCACCGAAGACAGAAATACCGTCTCCTTGGATTCCTCTGGTACACTGGCAACAGCTCGATTCAGGAGGAGGAAAGTGTTACTTTTGTAATCACCGTTATCATTCTTCGTGCAGGACCTGCCTCCTCCTTTGAGGGCTCCTTTCTGGGTTACACCGTAATCAGTGTCCAATTTCTGATAAGTACAGTTGTGGAAATACAAAAATAGCTTTAACGGGAGGATTTTTTCTGCTTCAGAGATTTTTAAAGCACCTCTTCCCTGTAGCTCTGTGCCGTGGGGCAGCTTGCATCAGATTCTGCACAGGAAGCAGAGCTATTTACAAAATAATTGAGGCAACCGCGTGTGCAATGGATGCAGCGTCCGCAGCGTTGGGAGCGCTAGCGTCCTGCACTCCCGCGTTTCCCTGCTGCTTGAGCAAACCAGGCACTTGCTCTTGTGACCTGAGAAGTTTTCTTAATGCTGCCTTCACCTCCTGCGCTTTCCTTTGCCATGAGCATTTTCCAATGAATCTATCAGTATATTAAATGCTGACATGCATCCAGCTTGATTAAGTCAGCAAGCCTGTGGGAGACAAAGTGTTACAAAATAGTGCCAAAACTAATATTATGGAATGTATATTTTTATTCCTTGTTTTTGAGCATAAGGATTTAAACTGTAATGGTTGCGTTTCCTGGGTCCAAGTGACTTCCAGTAAGCCTGGTGCTGGCTTGGCTCAGCTCAGCGCTTGCCCCAGGAGTGCAGGACACGATGAACTAAGCCTGCCTCGCAGGAGGGCCGGGAGTGGGGCCGGTGCCGGGCAGGCGGAGTTCCTGTGCCAGGCACGTGGGCACCT